CTGATTCAGCTAACTAACACCTAAGTTTCAATCGATCTACGTTTGAAATAATTATCAGCTACCAGTGATTGATTAATGATTTTTCCAATTAAACAAAATAACAATCACTGTTCCGATTCATTATTCTTTCGGTAGCTGATTAATGAAATGATTAGTTTAACGGAACAGTCGTTAACCTTATCATGTTGATTAAAATATGTTTATAAACGTGGTTGGTAGTAGAAATTCAGCAATGTTGAAATGTCCTCGTCTATGATAAAGCTGCAAATTTCAAAGTCCAGAAATTCACTGGTACCTACTTATTATGAAGAAGTAATAAAACATGGAATGTGTTACGAGAATGACCTTCCAAGGCTTAATTTTCCTAAAAAATAAACACTAAACTGGTTTGGTATTATCAAAATGTTATAAAAGTAAGAATGATGCAAGACGCCTCCAGCTTGCGAGCCCTAAAACCTCAGCAAATCTAAAGATGTCAGATAAAAGAATCGGTACCTTTTGAGAAAAATAACATTAGCGGCAGATGTGGCGTAGCGGGCCGCGTATCTTGCGGGCCGACCGCCGGGGCCTTCCAGGAAATAGAGTACGCGCCGCCCCCGGCCCGGCCGAGTCGGTCTCACACTGATCCGTCGATCTTTTTGACTTTGCCGACGACTTGTTAGGATAATTTCGTCGTATTTTACTTGCCATTGTACTTATTTGTATAGTGGAATTCTTTGCCGCGATTACAATGACCAGCGCTGGAGTACCTACCCAGTATATTTTTTTACTGAGGAACTTCTGGGAAGCTGATCAAACTCAATTTTATGGTATATGTTCGATACTGTTCTCCGGCACAGTAGGCTGTCTTAACGTTAAAAATGACTGCGCCTTATGCTTGAGGCGAGGAAGTCCATTTTGCAATGCAAGGGTATCATGTCATTACCGCTGACATCACTAGGCCATTGAGGCCACCTTCCGAATATTTTTTTTCAACAGCGAGCTGCTTTGAACCAAATAACTCACCATTAACCTATTTTAACAAACTTTACCTAGGTAGGTAAGTTTCTTTATGACATATAAAAGTTTGGACATATCCTATATCTACATGAATAAATTATGTAGGAAGGAAGGTCAATGGATGATACTAAAATGTTGGCGGACAAAACAAAGTTTTGGGTTTTCCAATCGCGGACGCGGCGACATCACACACCTACGTATCTATCCTATTGTTGAATTTATCTCGAATATTATTTGATGTTAGAGGGAAGGTCACACTTGGGATAGTCCACAATGAAATATTACTGGCCTTGTTAGAGATGTCTTCATAAATTTCTTTTATTTCAGTTGGCACGGAGAGCGAGCGGACTGATACGGAGGAGCTGGTTGGTCGGGCTGCGTCGCAGTGCTCGGCGCCTCCAGACCTGCTGCCGAGCGAGGCCCGGGCGCTGCTGGCGCCTTCCACGCCGCCCCCGCGCCCCGTCAGGACTCACGAGCCCCCCTACAAGCCCCCTTCGCCGCCAACCCCGGACCACAATGACGACAAGCCTAGACTACGGTTTGAGGTGAGCTAACAATTGACTAGTGACTACACAACCTAACAGCGCTTGAAGACAAAATAACGGACATAGTCTTCTCAAAAACATTCCAACCGTACTACTTAACTCATGAACCCATGAATGAGCGATAGAAAGTCGAGATGTCAGCGATAACTCCAAAAACGTGACATAAGATCTTGTCTTAATAGCAACAACAAGTACTCAAATCCTGGATTTATTTCAAGTATCCACCTAGAATGTCCGTCGATGTTATAATTAGACTGAAGTTCAACGACTGCCGCGGCATAAGTAAAATAGAAGAGTAATAGGGTATTATTAAAGATTACAGATATCGCTTTATCGCGGCCGATGTCATTGTTTGATAACAAAAATAAAGCGATGTGTACGTCGCCGTAGTAATTTGTAATTCATTGAATAACGAGATGAATCATCTATTTGTGTCGCGTCGCAGTGCGAGAGCGGGCGGCTCGCCTTTGGCTCACGTATCTCATTGATCGTAAAGGCGCGGCTAGTTTCCTTTTATGCACAAGATAAGGCCGCCGCTGGGCGCTAGCCTACAGTACACGCGCGCCAGGCCGCCGCCGCGCCGCCTCGGCCTGGCGGGACGCAGGTTATCTCTACCACTCGTATACTATACAACACACTAATGCGATTACACGAAATTCACATACATTTAAATAAATAAACAAATTCTATCTGAACATCAATAACACTTATAAGCAAGTCATAAACTTTACGATAATATCTTTTCTATTTCAGGAGCTGACATGTGATGTAGAGCTGCAGCATCCTGAACCTTCAAAACAACAGCCTCTTCAGTTCTCATTTACGCTTTACGACCTCGACGGGCACGGTCGAATGACAAAAGATGTATGTTAGTCAGCCGATTTTATTGTCTGCCTCATTTACAATCGCAATAAATTAGACGCGATAAACTAACAAAAGCATTCTCGGTTGCAGGACATTGCGGGTATCGTTTCAACGATATACGAGTCGATAGGGAAGTCGGTCACGGTCCCACATTATGGTTCGAAAACCATACAAGTGCGACTAACGGTCGTACCGGAAGACGGGAACTCACGGAGCCATCGTGAAAGGCGAGAAGGCCGGCGCCGGCGGCGGCGAGAGCCCGCCGGCACGCCCGCGGCGCCGCCGGAATGCGCGGACCACAGCGACGAGGAACAACGAGAAAGACTATCGCAAGATGATGACGCATCGTCCAAATCGTCGTGCTCGGGTGACAGAAGACCGCAGCGACCTCCCCCCCAGAACTCACGGCCCCATCGCCATCATCGAAGAGATCACAGGGACCGAAAACATACAAAAAAACGATCAGGCAGCTTACAAAGACGCGAGCTACTGGAGATTATTCAGGCAAACATGGAAAAAAATCACCTGAGCTTTCAAGCTTCTAGGTAAATAACTATTATAAACTTTTAACTTTTTTTGAAATCATTTATTTTATATTTTTTGTTTTTATCTTTAATTATCAGTAAAAACTAAATAGTTCATTGCGTAAACTAAAATAATGTCACCTAATTAAAAGTTGCGATTTTGCAGCAAAACACATTATGCCATTTTCTAACTCGTTCTTTTTAATTAATTTCAGAAAGCCCAGTGATCCTGTAGCCAACGAAGAAGACATCACCAATAAATACCAGAAGCTCCGAAATAGATCGTTTACTGTGAGTGAAAAGCCGACGAATGCATTTCAAAAAACCAAGGCTGACAATCCTGGACACGGGTATCTGGATTTGGCGAGTGGTGGTGATTCTAACTTGTGCCGGTACGATCGGTATTTACATGCGGTGATATGCTCTTCGGCGCGTCACGCTCATACCGGCTACCATCAAAAACATGCGCCGGCGCCGCGCACGCCTCGCGCTGCCCACCACCACTCGCGGTCACGATCCCACGACCTGCCTGCCCAAGCCACAACCCAGCAACCCAGAGTGCTACAAATAATATTCTTATAGAACTTAGGTATGGGCATTGTCGGCGACGACTTTGTCCATCTACATTTTAATCGCGCGGTACACTATCGTATTTAAATTATTGAGTTACCAAAAGCTGTACTGAATGAAATTAAATTATTACTACGGTCAAAGTGTGACCATATTCTCGTTAATATTAAGTAATTATAAGACGTCGTTAAAGTCATTACATTAATCAGTATTTAAAGAAGACAAGTGTAGTGTTTTATTAGGTTAGAATCAATTCATAATAATGATATGTATTACTTAACAAGATTTAGTGATACGGTACTGAATAATAATGTATAAGGATTCAAGTTACTTTTTTATTCTTGGGCCTATTATGTATTGGCATTATGCATTAATTGACACACAATACCGCGAGGCGTGACAAAACCAAGGGTAATGTTATGGTGTTAAATAAAATAATTAATTTATATTGGCATGACCTCATGAGAAAATAATAAATCTCATGGTATGGTAGATCTTATACTCGTAAAAATTCAGTGCCTTAATTTAAAATGGAAAACCGATCAAACGCGCGTTTTTTGTGTAAAGAGGGTTCCGTACGTTTTAATCGAAACTATTTTTTTCAAATGTTAAGTTGAATGAAAATCAAGTTGATAGTACATAATAAAATTATAATAACCCTTAATATGTCAGAAGGAAGGATCGAAATTTCATTTCTGAGCATTGTTAATTTTGTAAAACAGAGATTAGGGTTTTGTTATTTCAAAATTTGTACGAATGCCTCAAAAGCACGATTACATTTCGAGCGTCACTCAAATGTATGACTCCTATACGACTTATATCTCATTATGGTCAATTTGACAATAAATATAGGATGTTATTGATTTAAAACATGCTACGACACAAAAATAACCTTGAGTGGCGTGTCAGCGTTCGGTGTGAAAATTTAATTTAAAGTAAATGGGCCTATATTAATTTTAAATGTGACATCGGCATATTTACCGCCCATGCAAAGAAAATGAAAGCGTTGGCTGTAGTTGTAGTTGCTTCTTTGTAACGTATTGAAGTTAATTGGCCAACATCATTATCCTTGTATTAGGTACACTTCATAGTTCATTACATTGGTTTTTATTTGGAATAGACTTGATATTAAAACATAAGTATTAAACAAAAGAATGTTGTTCAATTTTTATCATTGAAAGAATATTAAAAATATTAAATAATGTATGTAAGTACCACAAATATGTCAATGTAATATTAACATGGATGGATAATGTATTAATAATACAGGCTTATTTAGTTGGATATTATGTATACTGGTAGTTACGTGAATGCTCAGTAGATGTACCTTTATGTAACTCATTTTCGAGTTGATAGACTGATTTATAGACATAAGTGTTAAGCGGTCGCAAGGTGATAGTTTATAATACTGTTATGCCTGTAACATTTAGTTGTTCATATTACCGTTTTGGTACTTAATTTTTTAGAACTTAACTTGTGGCATATTTTATTTGCCTCAAATGCCCGTTTCTCCAAATTCCTCTCATTTCTATGTTGCATTACCAATACCAGTATTCGTTATTATTAATAGTGAGTAGTGAATGAATCTCTAGTATGTTATTATCTACCTCTTTACTTTCTATGTGTTAATTTATTGACAGCTGAATTATAATGTAACTAGACTAACTAGGTCCTTTTGTGATAATTTATAATTAAAACAATTTCACTCAAAGAAATGTTCAGTTTTAAATGTAAGGTGTAACTACTGTATAAAGTGTACAAAGTGCTCGATCTTGTCAAAAATATTTATTGTCAAATATAGTCTTGAGATTAATTTACAAACAACATCTTTAATTTTACCCAACCTGTTCCATTAATTAAAATAAATGGTGCTCAAACTTAATGAATCGTTCAAAACCATGAAATAGTAGAGAATATGTAATTTTAACTTTCAGGGAGCGATGCTCCTGAAATAGAAGATAATTTCGAAACAGCGAAAATCGTCCCATCGTGTTAGAACTCGAGAATAGAACCAATAGGAATAGGTTGTTTTTTTTTCTTACATCAAAACAGCTTCCCAAGATTTTTGACCATAAACCGCGCGAGGTTCTTTCTACTTCCTAAAACCGCTTTAGTATTTTGTCATTTATTTAAAAGAAGGTAGGTAGGACTAATTTGAAAAAATAAAAATTAGAAAAGTTTGTTTGTCAGATGTAGCCTCCTTTATTTTTTGTAACTACATAAACATTATCAAAATCTTAGAAATTAAGTTCACCTTATTTCATACTTTAAATCTATTGTTAGTTTGTTAGTATTTACTTAGACAAAACAATACTCACAGTTATATTGTGAAAGGGCGTATTTCATGAGATTTTATCAAAATAATCTTAAAAATTCATTAAAACCTAACATTGAACCTTTATATTTGTTCATATTTAATTTTCAGTTAAATTATAATACGACGACTTACGACTCCTATCCTGAGGAAGTTCTTTTTTAGTCTTTTGTGCTTTTAGGATAATTTATTTTTAGTATCCGAGCTTATGACTCAATTTAGACTTCAGTTATAAATAACGTTATTTCAAAAAACCGTTTTTGATATCATGTCATAGAACTATTAAAAATATCGCACAGTTAACATTAAACAACTTTTGTTTACATTTAGGATATTAATAAACAAACAAATTATTAAATTCATTCAAGAGTCGATATCATAATAATTAAAAATTATAAATCTTACAAACTATACACAATGGGCATTATTGCAATAAAATAATAATAAATAAGTTTTTGGTACTTAGATAATACTACACAATTTAGAATTTTTGGTATAGAATTTTAATATAGGTACAGTTGTATGTGATGGATCGGTAACAGAGATAATTCATGTCACTCATTGTATGATGATGTAGTAAACTTCAAATGCATTGATACACTTACAAAATATTGTTTAAAATACTTAAAATAAATACAACTTAAATTACATTTTGTAAATTCATTACCGCTTAACGAGTATTTCAGATTAAAAAAGATATTATTACTAGATTGTTAAAGGACTTCATTAGATTATTATTTGTTAATTTACTCTAAAGTTAAAGAAACGTTAACTTAAAAAAGGGTTTACCACTAGTCCAAGACGATATCGAAAATAATGAATCTACTACGTTACGTTTCTTTTCAACCGCAAGTGACAAAACGAAAAAGACGCAATAATTATTTGTACTCTCATCAATCAAAGTTTTAACATCAAAATAATTTCATTTTAGGGCCTTAATTTTTATAAATGTTTCAAAATTGGTGCGAATATTGATAATTTTATGTTGCATGCACTATAGTTGTTACAATTCATGAAGGCGAGTGAGCTTTATATGTTGGGTGGCTCCGCTACTGAGGGTTTAGTGTGAGTTTACTTCAAACGTCCTCACTAGAGCGTGTTAAAAATAAGAAAATTTTAGTTCTTGAAAGATTCCGCTACAAGCCATCATGTATTTAATGTCATTTTTGACGCGCTCAATAGTGACGACTTTTGATGTAAACTCACACCACGGCTCACACTAAGCTCACTGTTCGTTTTTCAAAAGTTTTGACAGACATTACACTATCGTTATGTGCATGTACACGTAGGTATACACACAAGTAAAGCACACTCGTCTTCGTGAGTTGCAAGAACTTGTACCAGCGGTTCGATTTTCCGAATAGTTTGGTGCCGAAAACTAAGCGTGAATGACAAAAGCGGTGCTCTACAAAACCGAAGCTAGCTTTCACTTTATTATTATTTAATTTTCCATGTACCCGCGTGTACACTAGTATTTTAACTTCCAATATGAAGACTAAGTAATAAAGTAAAACTTAATTAAAATTAAAACATAATAGATAGGCGACGTAAAAAGGTAAAATGTAACAGCCAATTTAAAATAATTATCACAATATCATTTAAGGTACTCTTTATCGAGGTGCAATAAAAAAAAAGAATTAAAAAATATGAATAAACATGATTAAAAAATGCTTATTTACCGTAAAATTTACTGTTCAGTAAAAATATAAGCAAGTTAACGTTAATTTTAGCTTTGCCAAACATGTCCATTATAGCGCATCCTTCATACTGCTTCTGCAGCAAATCCTGGATATCTATTTCGATAGATTCCATTTCAACTCCCATAAACTTAGCTTTAATAGTAAAAACGCCATTGTGATCAGTCGGTGTGATATCAAATTGCACATTTTTAAATTGTTGAGGAGAGAGACCATCTATTTCTAGCAGGACACCTCTTTCCAATAACTTAGCACCGGAATACCTAGCAGTTAGTTTCGATTTCAACTTTTGTGCATCCTTACCTGATCTTCTCAAGCAGGCGTGAACACTTCTGCAACAAAAAAAGGAACCGTTTAGCTCATTCAAAAGATTAAAAACATTATGATCAATGAAGTCAATATGTTAAAAGAATTACACATACCTTTTTCCAGTATGAAGGTTGGCCAAGCAAGACTTGATGTACTGGTCGTAAGACTTGCACTTCTCCTCATAATACTTAGTTTTTTCCTGTAAACTCTGCTTGGTTCTGGTGAGCGTTGCCAAGGCTCTTCTTTGCGCCTGCCTGTATTTGCCTTTATTACACAAGTCTAGAGCGATTGACGTCACCAGGGCTTGGTATCCATCTTCGCGAGTGACGTAGCCTTCGTCTTCCAGCATTTGCAGGTTACGACGGAGTTTGGCTATGTGTTCGCGCAACGTCATAACGTCGTCTGGCTTGGCCTGCCCTGAATATATGCGCCGCTGTATCTTTTTAGCGTATTGCTCTTGCTGTTCTTTTGTCGTTCCAATACAGAGTGCTTCTAGAAGATGCTCACCTAAAATATACGATTTTTTCATGAGAACAATACTAGGTATCAAAATGGCTACACAGTCAAAACTTGGCAGTAATTTGTGTGATATTCGTGTATTAGAATGCAAATAATAATACAAGTCTTACCATTCAAGAAGGGAATAATGGCCACACACAGTTCTTTAGTCTTTATGAACAGCTTGTTCAAGTCCGTCAAGTCATCAGCTGGAGCCTGGAATTTGTTCACGAGCGCAAGACACACATCTAGTCTTGCGTTCTCTTCTGTAGTCTCTCCTATCTGTTGAAAAATAATATTTGAACGCTCGTATTCAATCAATCACATACTTGAATTATTTCGAGTTTTGTATTAGTATTAGACGCAGGCCGCTACCAATCGATCAACATGGAAAGCATTGGGGGATGCCTATGTTCAGCAGTGGACGGACGTCCTATGGCTGAAATGATGATGATGATGATGATGATTATGCGCCTTATACTTGAGGGCATAAGGTTCTATTTAAAAATCAAGAAAACTAATTTCTAAGAAAAAAAGCATGTGAAAGACGAGAGACAAAAGATACATGTAAGATTTGTTTGAAAAACTTTTTAAAACTTGTACAGAACCCCTGAAAATGTACGGTAAACTCTCCAGGAGATCGCAAAGAATGTACCCACAGAATGGCCCTAAATCATGCAATGACTAAAGCTGAATACTTACCGAATCGACGTCCCGAGATGCGAGTTCCGCGACTGAGGGCACGTCACCCAAGTCATCTAGTAGCTCGTTTAGGCGGTCCCGAGAGTCTGGCGCTATGATATCTTGGTATTCCACTAGTAATGCGTGTGTATCGACAATTTCCTGTAAAAATGTTTATTGTAATGTAAACTTAATACATGCATACATTCTTTAGTCTCTAATGCATGTTGTTTTCACCTTTAATTAAGTTAGCATTAACAAGTGTCGTTTGTGTAAGTTATTTTTGTGAACCTACAATGTAACCTTGTTGGTGATCAAATAAATAAATACAGGGTGGGCAAAAAATAAAAACAGTCCTGGAACTATGTGATTATCAGATATTGAAGTCAATAAGATTACCATGGGAAAATGTAGAAAAAAACACATTTCGGCTTCTCAAAGAAAAAAATGTGCAGGCTACGTACTTACATTTTTGTTGCAAAAGATAGCAGTTACATTGCTTACCTTTACCGGTCGTCGTTTGTTCTTGTCTACTTGAAAAATTCCAGTATGACGCAATAAAAAAGACACGATTTTAATATAACACACATTGCAAAAATTGCTACTTTTTTGTTATGCACCTTGTATACTTTTAAGTAGGTTACATCATAATGAGACAATCATCAACATAAATTATTATGTAATCTTTACTTGTAATTTACCTGAACTGTGATATAAATATGAGGATGGTGTAGCAGCGTGGCCTCCGTATACTCGTCAACAGCAAAGTACTCTTCAAGAGTAGGCCCACGACAGCAACGTCTGAACAAATCCTTCATCTTTTCGTGGCATTCCACTATGAACGGATTCAAGCACTGGAGGTGACGAGACTCTTCTCCAAACTAAAAACAATAAAAAAATTCACAATTCTGAACCTTAATCTGTTTTAGATAAACACTATTAGGTATCTGTCAACTTACGCCTTTTTTCGCTGAAGAAAAATGTAAAATTTTGGCGACGGACGCTAGGTTTTTCCGTTGATCCGTCGTAAGTCCAGCTCCATTAGGCAAATTGACAATATGGAATGCATCTGGAGCTACTATCGCGGCGTTGAGGAACTGGTAATATACCAAGTTGCCAATAACCTAGAATTAAGACGTTAGAATTTTAAAAATTTTCAAGATAATTAATTTTCGCTCAGTCTTCAAAACAGTCAACTGCACATTTCAAATTCATCTCAAAATTCAACATAGGTGGATGCATTTAAATATTTAGAGCAATCACAGGCTTTTTTCTAAAAGGTGATCAAGAATAGAGGCCTGAAAGAATTTTATTTCCTTATCAATATCAATCAATTTTATGCTTGCTTACCTTTAAAACATCCTTCTCCGGAGTGTGAGGAAACTTTGATGAAAGTGCCCTGTGTAACACACGAGCCATGTACGTGATGCAAAACGGTAAGAGTTCCGTTGACTTCGTGATCCTTTCCAAAAATATTGTGACTATCGTCTTAAGTTGACTCAAGGCTGCCTCCAGCCTGGTTCGAACTTCAGGATACTTTAGGGCTTCTTCTTGTGTGACAGTGTATGGTAAGGATCTAAGAACAAATGGTACAAATTAGTTATAGAACTTTAAGAAAATAGACCAATAATAGTGGAAGAAACTTGAAGGAATATTTACTCACGATATTTGTCCCGTTTTCATCTCAGTCTCGTTTCTCCAAGCCTTGTAAATCTCTACAGGTCCAGTCTCAATATTCAAGTCCTTGTCATTTATAACTTTCTCAATCAGTGGTCCCAATATAGTTTTGAGACTATTCAACCCAGACAACTGCCGCGACAAATTCACGGCCATTTTCAATACTAACGGCGTTGACGCAATAATATCAAAAGGCATTACTACTTTACAACTGATCTCTTCTTCTAATGTGAATCTGAACAACTTCAATAACAAATATTCATCTCTAGCATACGCACCGAAGTTATAAAGACTCAACACTACATTTTGAACAAAATTGTTAGTCTTATTTTGGGGTATACAAAAAAGAAGTTTAGACAAATAAGTGGGATTGGTTTGTAACTCGTAAAAGAGATGTTGGTATCCATCTAAAAGTCTTTTGCTTTCTTTAGTCAAAGATTTTAATCCTTTAACAGCTGTAGAAACTGTCATTAGAGAGCCTTTCCCGTCTCGATTTTGGAATACAAGCTTCGTCATTGAATTGTGTTTGACTAAATTGTTCAATTTCAAGCCATGCGCGGCTACTTCTTGTAAAGCTATGCGGTTTTGTACCAAAAGACCTATTTTCAAGTCCATGTCGTCTATTTGTTTTGACAACTCTTGATTCTTTCTCATTGACTGCACCACTTCTGACTTCAGGGACTGCAATTCTATTTCTCTGTCGTAGTCTTCGGTAGAGAAATCGAGCATCGGAATAAACTTCTTTACAGCTTTTAGGGGTGGGTTTGCAGAATGAAATAGGGAGGTGAATGCGTCGCGAGCGCGTTTTCCACGCCATAGCGCCTGTATTTTGATTATTTTATGCTCCTGAAACATAAAAAAAACATGAATATTGACAATAGATTACCAATATTGAGGGTAGTTTTCAAAAATGAATCACAGTATGTACCTGAACTTTATACCAAACCCAAGGATTTTGTTTTCGCTCTCGGTTCAGTTTAGCTTCGATCGCTTTCATTTTAATAAGTGTGCCATATTTTCTTTGCATAATTATTCTCCTCCACCATGCTTGGATTTTTATAACATAATCGACATTTTCCTCAAGGAACTGCAGTCTCGCACTTAACTGCTTACGGTAAATATACCCTCTACAGTATGCTTGAATCTTTACAATCGACTTTTCTAGAACAATCTGTTTGTATTTGTTTACATGATTTTTATTGGTCTTGTCTATGATAACATGAACATCTTTTCTAGTCAAATATCGGGCGTAAGGTACGAAGTCCTTGGGAGTAGACCAACAGTATGTATAAGACTCTACATCTATGTATACTGTGTTGCCAGCATTTGTATGACATACAATCCATGGGCAAATATAATGTCCCCTCTTTTTTAGAGCCTTTGAAAACATTTGAAAGTAAATGTCCTTACAACTACTTTCAACGGCACCTGGACTAGATAGCAAAGGGCAAAGAAGAGCATCCCAAAATTCATTAATGTCATTTTTAATTACTGCCAAATTCAAGTGAACAAGAGCATCTGTGAGTTCCTTTACTTTCAAGGATTCAGCATTGACATCATTGATAGTGTTAACAATATCATCCAACCATAAGTTTTCGGATTCTTTATGAAGTAGTTTCTTTTTTAACATGCGTAGATACAGATGGTGCTCCTCCTTGTGTAGTGGAGCAGTCAACTTCAAGGTTGGATTTTTCAGTAAATTCATTAACATATTGCTGTTTTCGTCCATCACAGCTTTGTTAATATCGTCGATTATTTTAACCACTGAAAAAGAAAAACAATTGAGAAAAAGGTACATTTAGAAAAAAAAGATAAGCAGTAATTAACAAAATATTGGATGAAAACGAAAAAAACTTACATTCTTCATTATCGTCGTCTTTCATGTTAACCATGTCAATGGTGTCACGGATATCTTCCAAGGTAAGCAGAGGGCACGCACATTGCTCCCTGACCTTGACTTGCAAGGCCGTCACCAGCGCCGAGAGATACCGCCGTCTGCAGTGAGGCCGCAAGCCTTCTAGGTGCACCTGCTTTGACATCAGGGTGTTCCAAACTGCAGCCTCGTCCCCCCTATCTACCGCCTGTGATACAGCTGCTATAGCTGTCAGGTAGGACACCGAAGCAGCTATCTCACTCTCATTTAAATTCTTCTCCAATTCACACTTCTCCAACCTCATCTCCTCAAACAAAAGAGGTATCGCATACCTATCCACCTTCATATTCAACTCCAAATGAGGGTTTCTCAAAGCCTTATACAACTTCTCTGGGTCCCCTTCATCCAATGCTTTATTCACGTAGGCTATCGCGTTTTTGTGGTCCACATGTTCTAATGATTTCTGGTTTCCCTCACTTATAATGTTTTGGAATATTTTATGCCAATTGGTAACACTCTCGACGTCAATATCTTTGTTGCACTCTATGATTTCCCTCACTACATCACAATAGAAATCTAAGTTTTTGGAGTTGTATTCTTTTATTTTAACCCAATCTTCATTGAAAGTTTTGTGTATGGCGTTAAAGTCATTGTTTTGTGTTGCAGTACATAATGATTTCCATAAGAATTTATAATTAACAGATGTAATATGGCCCTGAATTTCAACTTGAGTGAGTAATTCGTCATATTCGTCAGGAATGTAACTGTCGTTTAAAGAACGATTATGTGCAGCTTTTACTTTCTCTAGCTTTGCTGCTCTCAAAACTTTTTTGTACTCATTTATGAGTCTGTTTTGTACATAACTAAGTTTTAATTGAGGATTTAGAATAGCCGAAGTTATAGGCTTTTCTGAGTCAACCAATTTATTCAGTTCAAGAACAGCATCATGTAAGGCACTAGAGTCATCTGAATTATTTTTTGATAAAATCCCTCCAATCTTTTGAAACATAGGCAATGGATGTTCACACCTTTGCAAATCTTTAGAAACTGAATCTAGTTCTTCATCTGAAAAATATGAATTGGAAAAATAAATATTTTGATGATTTCGGCAATAATCGTAAATAAGAGGTATTATAAAACTTTCAACATTATTTCAATTGCTGACATGACAGTTGTTCTCCTATGACCATACTTCAACATGCTTGAGGACAAATTGAACAACTACTCTTTCCCACTAATTTATCTTAGGTATACCTACTACAAGGACCTATACTGGGTCTCGATTATTACTGCCAACCTATCAAGATCTAACATAATGTTTTGATACAATAACAATCACATTTATGCATGTGGATAACTTAAACATGAGATCTTACTACAATGAATGACCACATCCATGAGGTGTTTCTATACTTCATTTCTATTTCTATGGCAAGGAGTGTTGTGTGTTCTAACACATTACAGAAAGACATGCTATCTATAGATGAAGAATAAAGAATTTCAGATTTACCTGTAAATGTTGCTTTGCCAAAAACATCATGAATAAGTGGAGCTTTACCAATTTTAAACAAATGAGAACTGAGTGCATGAATGCAATAAATTACTCTGGGCATATTCTTTTTGTCATAAATGTCTGTTGTTTCTGGTTGAAAGGTCTGAAAATACATAAAACATATAAATTAAACGAACAAATTGAACATGCAGTTTCCTTTGTTTTTATTATTAGTTTAACTTACCACAGGTAGCTCAGTCTTTTTTAAAACTTGCAGAAACTTATTAATATTATCAGTGTGTTTAAACTGAAGTCCCATGACCTAAAATTAAATTGTGTTAAGTAAATTAGAATTTTGAAGACAAGTGCAAAAGACTATTTGAAAATAATAATATTCTAAAACACATACTTTGTAACGCCGTTGATCGATATCATATATTTTGTTCAAAGGTAATAAGTCTGGAGATATGAAGTGACCAAGTTTTGCCAAGTACACTCCATTTCGCAGACTTTCCTCAAACTCTGTGGGATGGGGTAGTTTTTCTTTAATGCACGCTTCAATCCATGTCTTGGCTTCTTCAAGACGACAAAGATACTCATATGCAATAGTTCTTTGTCTAATAATGTCCATTTCTTGTCCAGTCTTGCGAATATCTGTATCGCCTAGAAATAACATTGTGAGAACACATGAGTTCAATGTATTTTTAGTTCATATTTTTGGCAGTTTTTTAAATTTCCGTGTTAGAAGGCTAAAATGGTTAGAATTTGATACAAGTGATTTGCAATCTTAATACTAATTTGTAACTATTTATAATAAGGGACTGCAATTGCAATATAATTCTAATAATATTTAGAAGGTAAAATTATTCATAATTTACTTGCTATCTGATTGTAAATTGTTCTTGTGGTGTTAATCATCATCCACTAGTTTCCTTCCTCATTTAAATAATGTAATAAGATAATAACAACCCTGATGTTATATACATTCCTAATTATGCTCCCACTACTGTTTTAAATTAAACAGATACGTAAAACTTATAGGGTACTTACAGTCGTCTATTTTTCCTATGTGTTTATCTTCTGCACCTTCCTCCATGATAGGAAACATTTTGTATGCTTACTAGGATTTTGGGAATTCCACGAGTAGCATAATTTAATTCAACTGAATGTTTCGTCAGAACTTTATTTGCGCAGTAAACCAATAAAACATTATTTAATTCATTGCAAACACATTTGTTTTACACGCAGGTTTTACACATTTTCAAAACATTTGTCGGTTATTCAGAATTCAGAAATGTCATTTTGGATTTTGTTTTTTTTTTTCACAGATTTAGTATACAGTTAAGAGCGGTCCAACTAGGAATTCAGTACCTTTGAAGACAGATTTCGGGTAAAACCTTTTTTGTAGATTTTTTTTTATTAAAGCTAAAGTTTAGGGTCTTGCAAAGTTTTTGAAATTACTTAAAAGTCATAAAACATTTTTCATTTCATTTAGATGACTAGCTTGCCTCTATGCTAGCTTGCCTAAGTTTTTTTTTCTTTTAGTCAATAAGTAAATGTCATGAGGTCTATGCTACAAAAAAGAAATAAAAAAAAAGATGCATAATTTCTGAGCAAAAAAAAATTTAAGAAGGTCATGCAAGGTCAAGTCAATAATCTTCAAAATTTTGAAAAAATCGCTGAATATACAACATATAGCCTGACCANCGCCTTAACGGCAGGAAGTATAGCAGGAAGCTGGGTATTTTATGTGTGAAAGTTGGTGAAAGTAAATGTCATGAGGTCTATGCTACAAAAAAGAAATAAAAAAAAAGATGCATAATTTCTGAGCAAAAAAAAATTTAAGAAGGTCAAGCAAGGTCAAGTCAATAATCTTCAAAATTTTGAAAAAATCGCTGAATATACAACATACATGGGGTATTTCCGGGTACATCTAGATGTCAGGAATCCAAAAAACATTTTTAGTGTCCCTTATGGGCCACCCTGTACCTGTACCCTGTAGGTATTTGTATACCGGTCTCATTAAGGGTTGTGATAGGGGTCTCAACAACTCTTGCTCGTAATATAAACCTTTTTTTTCTTTATTTCATAGCGTAATATAAAAAAAACATAGTTTCAACGTCAATTACGTTTCAATCAAAGTCTAAGCGAACGTTTTGTTTTTTCGTTTGTTCAGCAAAATACATTTAAATAAATTGTATTATTGTCTCAATATTTAATTATCTCCTTCAACAACAATGGATACTAATATGATGGATGAGGAAATCAGCGTTTTTGAACCTGGGCCAGTTTATGAACCTATTTCAGTTTGCAAATGCTTGATAGATCAGGATTCATCAGAATCTATTGTTATTCCTGAGCGTAAGCAAAAGATTCTATCCACTGTAGCTCGAACTGAAAGCTACCTGCGAGAGCGCCGCATACCTGAACTTGTTCGTTTTCTTCTTACCAAGTTAATATCACAAGGTTCGAACAAGCCTATGCTTTATTTAGAAAAACTACTAAACGACTGTATGCTATTTCGTGCAGGACATGGAGTTGCACCTGTATTGTATGAAAATCGGTAACTTCATTTACATTGTATTATTATCATCATCACTCTACTGTAGTTTCTAAAGAATGTAAATCCAAATAATTGTAATTATGTAAGAATATGAATAAAAAAAAACGATTATTTTACATTACCAAACATTATTTATCGTTAATCGTTACAGGCATTTGGAGGCAGTTGTAAAAAGCTTTGATCCAGGTCAAAGAGGCTGGTTGAGTGCTGGACAGACACGCAGAGCATTTATAACACTTGGACTTACTCCAGAAGAATCGCTTGAAGACCGAATTCCTTGTGATGTTGTAATGAATAGTTTACGAAAAACGCAAGAGGCAGAACTTTACAGTTTGTTAGCTGCGGGTATGAATTTACCTGAAGGTAGCGAAGATACGACATCTGATAGTATGACTTATTGAGTATATTGTTTGTTACGTTTATTAACTTAAATATTGACAATAACTAATAATATTTTTTTAAATCGAATGAATTGAATTTTACCAAAAAGGAAAGTAACGGACTGTCTTGTTGTTAGGTTCACGTCCTTTGTATATGTACACAATGTGCAATAATAAAGTTTTGATTAATTCGGTAAATCTCACTGCTTTTTCTTGAGTTTACATAGAGCACACTTTAAGGCCGGCAATACACGGACCGCTTGAAGCAGTCAGGGTCGACAGCTTCAAGCTGTCGACCGCCCGAATCAGTTGCAAGTGTTGCAACTTGCAACTGCTCGAGTGGTTCGTGTATAAGCGTCCATAGAACTCTGCAGTTCACTGTGCAGTCGACAGCTTGAAGCTGTCGACCCTGACTGCTTCAAGCGGTCCGTGTATTGCCGCTCTAAGAGATCTCACGCTCGATAAACCTCCTTGAGAGAGAGAGAGGAAGGTTATGAATGAGATAAGTCACACGCAATGTTGAGTTTGACGGGCAACGGACAACAGTGGGTCTAGACAAAGTGCAAATTATAATCACAAACCAGTCGAAAAGTGGTCGAAAGGCCCCTTTTTTGTATGGAGTTTTGACGGATTCGATTTTCTATTCGATCAAAAAGTGCGTTTTGTCTAGGGGGGCAGTACAGTCCGGGCTTGTAGCGCTATCTGCGCTTGGTTTTGCCATAAATAAGGAAGAAATAATTTTCAGACCCCCTTTGTTGGACCGCACCGCATGCTTGACATGGACAGTTGACATTACAGATTGACATTGACAGTTTTGACAGTATAATTTGATGGATTGTTTGTTGTTGGCCGAGTGCAGATTTTTGTTCGGTCAGAGTTATAAAATTGTGAATTAAACTATGTGATTTATGAGATAAAATGCTGCGGAATTGTTTTTACTAAAATATTACCGCACTTCTCTCACTAAAATTTGGACCAACACTTACCCATTGTAATATGTTCATCCGAGGAATCGTTATCCACTTCATATTTCTTTTCTCAATTTTTGATATTTATTTCAAGTCTCCAATTGTAAGGAATGTAATTCCTTATCAGCCACGTCATGAAGCCCTTGCTGACCGGCTTGTTCTTTTTATTGTTGATGGACTTAGAGCGGAATCGTTTGTAAATTATTCTACAATGCCTTATCTCAGGTATGTTCAGTAAAATAACTAATATTACTCCTTGGATTTGGTTTCTGTTTACTATATTTATGAATAAATTCTATAATGACGCAATAAAGTAATATTATTTTTCATAACTTTCACTGTATGTAAACAATAAATTGAGATTTCTTATTTGATTGCAGATCAGTGGCAAACAACCATGGAAGATGGGGCATATCCAACACACGTATGCCTACAGAATCCCGCCCAGGGCATGTGGCTGTAATTGCAGGATTCTATGAAGATCCGTCAGCTGTTCTTAAGGGTTGGAAAGAAAATCCTGTAGATTTCGACTCTGTGTTCAACCAGAGTGCCTACACATGGTGTTGGGGTGCATATGATATTGTACAAATCTTCACGAAAGGAGATGTTGATGACCACATTTTTGTCAGCATGTTTGATCCCTACGATCAGTCTTTTAGTACTGATAAAAACACAACTCATTTGGATGCCTGGGTCTTCGACAATGTTAAAAATTTCTTTTATAATGCTAAACTAGATACTACTGTTAATGCTATGTTGCGTGTACCAAAGATAGTTTTCTTTTTACATTTACTGGGCACTGATACTTCTGGTCACACACACAAGCCTAAAACACAGTGAGTATTTTGTCTATAGTAGCAGCAATTATCCAGCATGATATACTTAAATGAAATATTGATCTATTTTTACTATTTGTTACAGAAACTTTTTGACTACTTTGAGGCATGTAGATGAGGGGATCAAAGATATAGAGAGGCTTGTAACAAATTTTTATAATGATGATGGGAGAACTACATTTTTGATGACTTCTGATCATGGCATGACTGACTGGGGTAAATATTGCAATATATTGATTTAATCAACAATCATAATTATAATATTATTTCTTTTCCATAATTAATGTTTCTTGTTAATCTAATTTCAGGTTCCCATGGAGCTGGTTTAGAACATGAAACTGAAACGCCATATGTGATATGGGGTGCTGGGGTCCAACCTGTCAAGAGTGAGCAGATGGATCCTGAAACTTTAGGCATGTCTCTCAATCACAGATTTGATATTAATCAAGCTGACCTAGCACCACTCATGTCCACAATACTTTCAATTCCTGTTCCTGTTAATTCAGTGGTAAGAATCATTCACTAAGTATTAAGTCATAGGATATGCGGATACAGAATATTAGATTCTAAAATTATTGATAAGCAGCAAATAATGTATTTTTTTCTTTACAGGGTAAATTGTCTACAGAAGTACTAAATATAACTCTTTCTGATAAGGCTAAAGCTGTATACAGCAATAGTAGACAGCTGGCTTCACAGTATGATAGAAAACGACAGGATGTAGAAAATAGTGCTCTAACAGCACTCTATAAGCCTTTTGAGGCGTTTACCAAAGAGAAGTACAATGAAGCCATAGAATTCACTGAAAGGATGCTTGAGGGTGAAGCCTTAGACCCTGCAGAATATGAGAAACTCATTCTTTTGAGTGAAGAAATATCAGATCTAAGCCTTATTGGCTTAGAGTACTACCAAAATTATTATCAAAATCCCTTGCTGGTGCTAGTCACATTATCGTTTGTTGGTTGGATAATGTGTTTAGTGAAGACATTATTGGAACAGAAAATAAACAACCAAACAGAATCATCTTCTAGTATAAATATATGTCATTACAAGAAGAGAAAAATCTTGAAACATTTCAGCCACCTCTCAAATGCTTTTTATTTTATACTATGTGTAATAGCATTTGGTTTAGTATTTGGTGAGTAAATAATATCTACATAAAGGATTATTTACTTTTTTTGTCTGTGACTAACACTGTATTTTCTATTTCCAGTACAAAGTTTACCATTCCAGTATTATATTTATTTTTTGATGCCCATTATCTTATGGAGGTGGGCACTAAGGCCTTTCAGCTTGTGGATACAGCTGCTAAAACAATTCAAAAGTGTTAGAGAGATTTATGCTGTGTGGATACAAAGTTTGTGCTACACTCTAGGATCATTTGCATTGGTAAGTATGTATTACATTTACAAGTAAATTAGGTATACATTGAAAAATGTTGACTAAGCCTAGGCGCAGACCACCGACTTTTAATTGGCCTGGCCGATAGTTGGGCCCGATTCTAATTTGTATGAAGAATCGGCCAATACCAAATCGGTGTAATTTGCGCACTTTCATACATCTCCATACTTATCAACAGCAACAACAGCCCGACCCAACTATGGGCCAACTAAAAATCGGTAGTCTGCGCCTAGGCTTATAAAAATTGCAACCAAAAATTACGAAACACGAACTTAAATACACCTCCCACCCTCATGGTACATGGTCTAGCTCTCACATAAAGTGTGTAATATCATAAGACTGATACTAAAAATATAAAAATATATTACAGGGCTTGTCATTCTCATATAGATGGATGCTTAGTATACCACTTCTGGGGATGGCTATATGGCCTTTCCTCTCCTCATCTAGGAAGCACCTGACAAAACAAATACTTTTGGCCTGGCCTGCTAGCTGTATTCTTCTAAGTATTTTCTCTTTTATGCCAGTAGTGGGAAAGGACACTTTCATAGACTTGGTGTAAGTATAATTTATCGATTTAGCTATGTCTTTGTACTGTCAGTTTATTTACATAATAGTCTATTTCTATTTTCAGAATAGGTGCAGGCATAGTCTGGTTAACATTCCTTATTTTATACAGTTGGAAAGTACTATTCCCCCTTTATCATCGCAATGAAGAAACAGGGAAAGCTATAGTATTAAATTTTATCCAAATTTTGCTACTAGCTGCTTCACTACAAAATATTTATAGCCAATCTATAAGATTTGATACAGGGACACCGGTATCGCAAATATATCAAGGGTTTGCGTGGATTATTTCTGGTGAGTGTACATTATTATTATTAAACCAGTTTTGCAATAGCATGCTTACTGTATATCCATAGACTCTTCCATACGACATATACATAATGGAATCAGATATTGCCCTTTATTTCTTTGGGGCACTAATATTGCTTCTCCCTTAGATATTTATATGATGGCTAATTACATTTCTTTTGTTCCAGTTATTTCATTCATATTACCACTAGCATTCTCAAAAAGACTGATTTGCCGTCTAGTGGCGATATATACTTCGATTTTAAACTTTTATCTACTGCTCTCTGTTTCCCATGAAGGACTTTTTATGGTCGTTCTAATATTCAATGCAGCTTGTTGGATGGTTATTGAACATAAACTATTAAACGCAAATAACATGGGGGTAAGTAGAGTATTCTACAGTCCACATCAGTGGTATTACTCAAAATGAGTTTTAATCTCATAATTAAACACAACAATTTAATTAAAAAAACATGGTTTTTACAGATACTAGAATACCAATTCGATGAGTATGAAGATTCGTCAAAAAATTTGCTAACTTTTGAAAGAAGCATAAGCAGGCAAGATTTCAGGAGAGCATTTATATTCGTATCCTTTACTAAAGTTATCTATAAAAAGACGTCCTTGGAAGAAGGAAGATGGCTTTAAATCTAAATTATTCAGTATTTTATTGATTATCCATAATATAGTTTCCAATTGAGANTTCTTCATTCCACAATTTTTATACCTATAAGTATCTTTGAAAATATTGACTAAACATCTCTGTTTGTCGTGTGTGGATAAACGGAACTCGTCGATTTATTATTTTAAAAAGGTCAAAGTTGTAGATCTGCTACAAATATTTCCTTAACAATAATATTTCAGACCTTATACATCATTTTAGCATTTTTCGGGACAGGGAATATCGCGTCGCTCAATTCGTTTGAAGTGAGATGGGTGACATGCTTCATAACATCATTTAAACCGTTTATTATTACTGGGTTAATACTTCTGAAGACGTTGTCGCCATTCCTGTGTGTAGCTTGCACGTTCAGAGCTGTTCAGCATTTAACAAAGGTTGGTTGATGTAGTTCCTATGAAGTATATCAAATAAGAGTGGAGGCCACCACGTACCGGAAAACGCAGCGTGTGACGTCCACCTACAAGGTGGAACGAGGACCTGATAAAGAAAGGAAGGAGCTGGATGCAGGCCGCTGCCAACAATGCGATGTGGGGGAGGCCTATGATGTTCAGCAGAATGCTTAACGATACTCAAATTAAGCTCATAGCCGGCTGGACCCTATTTTCTGACTGTCAAGTATGCAGTAGCCACTGATCGGCTGAACGTGGCTAGTAAGCTGACTTCTCATATTAATCTGGCCACATTTAGGAAGACAATGATCGGATCGACTAACAGCTTTAAAATGGAGGCGCACGTGGCACACTCGTGTTCGCTTACTTTTGTCTAATTTGTCATCCTAATTCATATGTAACTACTTCTCTAATCTGTGTAATACTCACCATATTTTTCTTTTCAGGCTCCAACGGGTTATTTACATATCATAGTATTGATTTACTCCAACATAATGGGAATACAATTGCTTTACAACGTCAAGAACTACGGAAGTTGGTTGGATATAGGCACTTCAATTTCACAGTTTGTTATTGTCCAAGTGATCACATTATTTATTGTATTAATCAATCAAATCGCGAAGATATTGACCGATATCAGCATGCAAATGTTTATTGGAGGAGTATTTGGAGAAAGTTTGAAGAAATATGTTTAAAACACTGACTTTCTGGGTAGGTAGACACAATATGTAATGTGGGTATTTAAACTTGATAATCAAGACATAATATTATTATTACTCTAATAAAATTCTTTACAAGAATCGTACTAGTCATATAATGAAAATAATGTTTGTTAACTATATTAAACAAATAAAGGATCAAATCAATTTCTGTTTTTTTCTTAACGCCTATTCACATAGGCCAAGCAACAACCATGACACGATGATACACTAGCACCAATAATACACCACACCTTATACATAATTTGATGATTGTAAATAGGTAGGGTATGTAGGTAGGTATGTATTTAAATACCCGACTGTGCTAGAAGGAGGGTAATGTTTTTTGATGATTGGTTCATTCATTATTATGCACATTTCGCGCACTTTTGATGCCGAACATAGAATGGAATGGCAGATATTCCTTTCGTCATAAACTTGCTGAGATATTTAGAATTGGTATTTTAGGACTACTTGAGTTACTCATTAGCCCTGCCCTGCAGATTCGATTCTCACAGCTGGGTCAATAAAATTTAGGAAAAGTCTATAAAAAAAACCGGTTCGCACACACCTATCGTGTGCTGATGATAGTCACAATGGGCAATTAATTAAAAGTCGTACCCCGTAACTCCTGCCTTTGAGCCTACCCAAGTCTCTGACTGAGATAACGAAGTATCGGGTCTAGGGAACCATTCGGGCTAGGATGCGCGCCGTAATTTATCCACGATGATTATAGACATCAAAATGTATGGGCAAAATCGATAAAATGGCGCGATAACCGCTTATCGCAGCGCATTCTAGGCCTACATGTTTATGTTCTTAGTTTCATAATAAAACAATAAAATAATTGCAATAGCATTTAATAAGCTTTTATAAAGAATACTTAGGCAGTGTTGCTAGGCGCCGCATCAAATGTTAAGTCATGGGCTTATTATTTTACTACTTAAAATTGTATGTTTGCTACAGAATAGTCCTGATAAATAATCCTAATCAATTATTTTTTTATCTAGGACTAATGTGTTTCTAAAGCTAATCAGATAAATGTTGCGGCGCCAAACCTGTAGGTAGGTATCACAATTTTCTATACAGTACTTTTTACTTACAATTTTATGTCATGGTATTGGTATACATCTAAATCCTTAAATATTTAATAAAAAAACAACTAGACACAAACATAAATTATTTGCGAATTAATACAATACAGATATACTGAGATTACAATACTGATTTATAATACTGGAAATTGATGAAATCTAATCTAATTAATTAATCTATAATGTAGAGTGCATATAAACAAAACTAAATCAACATAAATCATTGATTCTAAAACTATTTGTCAACTTTGTATAGAATTTCAATATGCATATTTTTTTTACATATTTTCTAAGAATTTAGTATACAATTGTCTGGGTGTTTGAAATAGGATTCTAATACTTCAAAATACTCCTTGAATACATTTTCAATACTATTGTGCATCATACTTAATTCTTTTTCCAAATCAAGGTCTTATTATTAGAAGGCATTTCAATAGTGTCAATTAGGGATAAACTATTTTCTTCAGCTAATTTGATTAATGCTGTAATATCACGTATACCCCATGAGGGGTCTCTAGCTCTCAATGAGGCATCAAAATCAATATTACTTTGAGGTGTTATAACTCCATCTTTGCTATAAGGCCCGTAGGTGATCATCAGAGCATCATTCTTCAAATAGATGCCAGCATTTTCAAATAAACCAATAGTACATTCATATGGACTTATGTGGATCATATTAGCATTGTACATGTAGTCAATGCTATTCTCATTGAAACCATAGCAAGAGAATTTATTACAAACATCTACCAACACAGGCTGGAGTATGTTTTTTGTAGGGCATTCATTTGCATAATAGGCAATGCTTCCAAATAAGTTTTCGTCCACTTCTGTTGGTTGAAACTTAACACCAGGGAAGTTAGGCGCAAAATGAGCCAAATGTTGCCCAGAGCCTGATGCTATCTCCAAAAATAATGGACTCTCATCTTCTAAGTTATCAATATCAGACAATATGAATCTTTTCAGAACTTGCAGGATAGGTTCTTTGTTTCTGTTGGCAGCGGGATAGATCAATTTTTCTCCTTTGTAACTGTAAATAAAATATATTATGGAATTAATTAAACTTTAATTATAAGTAATATTAATGTGTGAAGACACAATAGAGGTTAGAAACTTACTTCTCATTACTTTGATAGGAGCAGGCAAAATCTTGAACTTTCGATACAAGTTTAGTAGAACTCATAACGATGTTATTATACACCTACAGAGTAGTATCAATTCAATTAATTAGTAAATTCGGTTCGAAGACTAAATAAAACTTCAATTATTGAAGTGCAAGAATTGTTGTAAGATGAATTATTTAATTTATAGGCTTTTTTAATTCATGAAAAATAGCGGAAAGTTTCAAATGAAATAAACTGATGCACCTTTAATAAAAAACTCACTTTTTCGATTCTTCGAAAAATTGCACTTGCTCTCATTTTTATTTGACCGTCTGTCACGGTAGGGAATTTGACATTCAACTCCAAGGATATACGAATATTATGTGGAGAGGAAGTATAGATTTATAAAAAAAATTCTTACAAATATTTGTATTAAATTTTTGTAAGATACATACAGTGTGAGTCACGTTAAAGTGTACATATGAAAATAGATGAAACTAGACTTATTTTTATCGACAAAAAAGAGGTCAAAAAATTTTCGAGATTTTTTTTAAATTTTTTATGGAATTTTTTTTCTTCCAATTACTTATTGTAAAGAAAACGTAATAACTTTTAAATTAAGCGGTATATCCTGATAAAATAAAAATAGTAATAATGCTAAATAACAGGCAATACTAAAAAAATACATACAATACACAAAAAATGCCAACAAGTAATAAAAAATGATACTTTTTGAAAAAAATATGCTTAAAAATTCGTGTTTTTTTGGTTATTTGATAAATTTCTCCAAAAAATGCCCCTATAACAGGTGGTTTTTATTGTTGTGTATTATTTTCTATCGTATTACCTTTGTAAAACCAAAAATTGCATGTCTCTATCCCTATCACAAAATTTGCTATGATAATTTGAACAAAGGCCTACCACAACATTATTCTCCTCTACAGGTAGGGACAATTTTAATTTTAACTAAAATGTTTATTTTACTTCGAAATCTTTTGTTTTTACTTGAAATCTAACTTGTCTTTATCAAAATTACAAATCTAGAGCCATTTTCAGTTTCGTTGTTAACGAAGCGTTGAATGGCGCGCCCGGAGAGGCTTAGTTCAAACGATCATAGCAAATGTTGTGATAGGGATAGAGACATGCAATTTTTGGTTTTACAAAGGTAATACAATAGAGAATAATACAAAACAATAAAAACCACCTATTATAGGGGCATTTTTCGGAGAAATTTATCAAATAACCAAAAAAACACGAATTTTTAAGCATATTTTTTTCAAAAAGTATCATTTTTTATTACTTGTTGGCATTTTTTGTGTATTGTATGTATTTTTTTAGTATCGCCTGTTATTTAGCATTATTACTATTTTTATTTTATCAGGATATACTGCTTAGTTTAAAAGTTATTACGTTTTCTTTGCAATAAGTAATTGGAAGAAAAAAAATTCCATAAAAAATTAAAAAAAAATCTCAAAAAATTTTTGACAACTTTTTTGTCGATAAAAATAGGTCTAGTTTCATCTATTTTCATATGTACACTTTAACGTGACTCACACTGTATGTATTCTTCATTTTAATTATTTTATTTTTCATATAATCGGATTTTATAAAATGTATTTTGTATGAAAATTAAAAAAAATAATTATGATATCTTTCTGACTTCACCATAGCATTTATATGCCCATGTTAACATGGGCTAGTGTCGGCTCATATTATACCCATTTACCTAACACCCTGTAAGTAATTTTTCGGCCACCATGTTCATTTCCCAAATTGTATATGTACCAAGCACGTTTATTTCATAAGTATGCCCGGTCCATAGTATAACAGTTATTACATTCTCTCGGCAATCAGACAAACGTTAAAATAAATAATGTCAATGAAGTCAATTGTCAAATTCGATTTGAATGAAATTTTATTGTAATTATTTTCAATTTCTAGCAATAATCAGCATTAATTATATAAACAAACAAAATAAGATTTGTTTGTTGATGCTGACAGTGAAATGTGATTTGAATTTGAACCTGCGTCCTGCACACTTTCACACGAATCTTGTGTATTTACAAGAGATTTGTTCGTACTCATTACCCATCATACTCTCATCTGTGTTACCCATGGAGTAATATTTAATTAAACGCATAATATGGATGGTTTTGATAAAGAATTTATCACACAAATGTTTCTCGACAGTGACCATGTTTCTACAGTAAACAGACTAACTGTGGCAATTGCCAATGTTGTTACTGAACATAGTGAAAATATTATTGTATTCAACGAAGCGTTGGAAAAAGATTTCGGACAAGTCCTGCAGGCGGTTGACAGTGGAATTGAAAGTTGTCCTGATTCCCTAAAGGTGAATGGATACTACGAAAATATTGTGCGGTCTTTTGATAATGAAGATTACTTAGCAAGATTTAAAATGAAGAAATCCACGGTTCAGGTATTTGTGAACTTTTGGGCGACTATAAACAATTTGACTAACTTACGTACATAAATCACCCATAATTTATCTGTCTCATTTTTATTTCAGGCCCTGATCAATTTTCTGAAGGAGAACTTAGAAAGAAACACTGTTGTGCCACTGGATAAAAAAGTGCATATATTTTTATGGTTGTTAACTAGTGATTGTTCTTTCAATGAAGTTGCAACTTTGTTTGGTCTTCAAAAAGCAACAGTTAGTTATATTTTTCACAAAATGGCCTTATTAATTTGTGAGCAGAGATATAATTTTATTAGCTGGCCATCTATAGAAGAGCAACATGTTACTAGGATAAAAGTTAACAGTAGATATAAGTTTCCTAACTGTGTAGGGTTTATTGATGCTTGTCATTTTAAAGTGGGAGCAAAGCACCGCACTAAAGGCAAACAAGATACTGTTCTTCTACAAGCAGTTTGTGATGAATCTCTAATGTTCATAGACATACACATTGGTGATATTGGAAGGACTAAGAAAAACAAGGTTTTTAAAGATAGCTCATTAGCTCAAGAAATAAAAAATTTCATTGATTTTGAAAATCATATCTTAGGTGATGCTGAATATAAATTAAGAAAGAACTTAATGACTCCATTTTCAAGTGAAGAGTTATTGACTAGTGAAGAAATGAAATTCAATGAAGTCCACTGGAAAGCTCGTTCTTATATTGGACATGCATTTGAATTGCTCAAAGAAAGATTCAGAAAATTAAATTATATGGAAGTTGTTAAACCAGAAGTTGTGAACACATTAGTTTGTGCTGCATGTGTCCTACATAATTTCATATTGCTACATGAAGGTTGTCCAGAAATTAAAGAGGAGATGATCATATGTGATGAAGGAGTTACCATTGACACGAATATAGTTAAAACAGCCTCAGAAAAGCGCCAATTTTTATGTAATTATATAAATTACATTAATTTAGACAATGCATTGACCTCCCCAGTGAATGATTTATGAAAAGGAAACACATTTATAATTTAATAATACTTTTATTTCACCACTAATATGGGAAATTGATAAAGTTGCTAATTATTAAATTGATTTTTTGTAATATAAAAAATATAAATAAAATATTGAATATCATTCAATTATTGAATTCTGCAAAATGTACATTGTATTAAAATTTACACTATAGTAGCTGCCTTTGTTACAAACACAAGTTTAATACAATGTAGGAACCTACCTACATTTTAGGTTCATTTCATCATTTTTAAAATAAAGCTTTCTTTAAAAACATGCTCAGCTTTGAAATACATAATATCAATAATTTTATTATAGTCCTACCATGTGTAGCAGGTATATACAGAACATATAATTTCTGCTTAACTTAACAGACTTTGATAATTTCACGGTGGGAATACTTGATTTTTAGATCTGGTGGTTGCTTCAATCAGTATTTGAATCCACATTGTTAGTTTAATCACATTCAATATTGAGATAAAAATGATGGATACAATCAAAACTTAAAAATAAAAGAAATATGCTATGAAATTGATTTTCTAAAAAGTTCAATCTGGTTTATATCTATATTTACAAAGCTTGTCAAGCTGGATTCAGTTCATTTGATGTAAACTGAAGATAACAGCCTAAAACACAATAATTATAATATTCTCTTTCCCGATGTATTCTAAATTACATTAGGCACTAAATTGGCAACCTACAAGGCACTATGCATTTAGCACAGCAATTTATGCTATAATATAATTTTAACTTCATTCTTTTTAACAATATGATGTCTTTAATAAGAATTTACTTTTCTGAAAAGTGAATTACGTAAGTTTAACAATTTTTCTTATAATAGATAATATTTAGCTTGAACTTTAATGTCAGAACAATTTATTACACAAAAGTTATACAATTGTTTACATTTTAAGGAGTAAATGCTAAAATAAGTGCCATTAGTTACGTACACAGTTATAAAATAATATGTCGCGATTATTGTGTCAATATTGAAATACATTTTAATGGTTGTCAAATTAAATTTTAAACAAGATCTATTTAATCGGACAATTTTGCTACAATTAATTAAAATCATAATCTAACTATTTAGGACTTATGTCCTTGATTGTATAGGCTTAATTTTATCATTATATACACATTTATTTATTTATTTATTTACAGTAGGTAGCTGTGCTGAGACCTTAATACTTTATACTTACCTATACAATCATGGAATGTAAAAAAAACTAATACCTACTACTTCTGTAATTGGCAAAAATAAGTTGTTTAAAGAATACATGCTATTATGAAGCAGTATTTTGCCAGTTCATTCTATATTAAGTCAGTGGATTCAAAATGATTACTAATTTAAATGCAATCTTCATACCAGAGTAAAGAATATGTACCTATATAAAGTATCTTAATGCAACTGCACTGTACAATTATTAATAACAACAATATTTACATAATAAACACCAACAGGGACACCACACTGAACATTCACTGTCTTGGCCGAGGCACGCAAAGACTTGGCACACGCTACGCGCAGAAACACTGTCTCAATCACTTATTTATTGATCCATACATAGTTTGTTTGGGTATATTTCATATATAAGTCTTTTTCACTTTTTGTAAGGTTCCGCACTTGAGGTCCTTGTCCAGCGATTCAGTTGAGTTTCTTAGGTCGAGCGTGCGCTCTTTGCCCAAATCCATGTGCAAGTTATCTTGCTTGGCAAGTGGACAAACATTTGCTACCATGTTTACGTTTTTTGATCGGGTGGGCATGTATGCTGAATTTGCATTTAGTGGCGTTTCCAAGGGGCTTAGTCTGAAAGTAATGAACAATATTATTAAATCGTGAAATTATTTCTATAGAGACTTCAGTTGCCACTTTCTCATTGTATAGGAACAAAAAAGTAACTAGATCTCTATAAATATTAAATTTTTTCAAAAATACCAGCATAAAGTAATAAATACCTATTTAAATGATTGTGTTGTTCATTAAACGGTGAGGTATCGGTAAAAAATGGGTGACGAAATCGCCGTGAGAATAGGTAGCCGATGACGAATCCCACCATAAGTGTGACCAAACACGATGCCACTACTGCAGTGAGCAGCGCCTGCGCGCTGTAGATATTTCCATCGGCAGCTTCAACTGTTAGTAAATCTGAAAACAATATCCATTGCAAATTAAACGTGCACGATAAGGAAGAAAAAATAGTATAGGTACACCTACGACTCAACATTTCATAGTTGTTAACCAACGTAAAATTCTAACTCACCTGTTTCATGTTTATTATTGGTGGGTTTATCTTCCGATAAAACGTTTGTTTCAACAACTTCAATCAATATCTCATTTTGAATGTCGTCATTCTTCTGACGTATATCGGATTCAGGTAGTACAGGCTTCTTCGTACCTGGGTTTCTATTAGCATTCCTTTCCCCGGAGAATAGAGGTGGCAACTTATTACAAATATCAGTCTTTCCATACTCCACATTCTGTAGGAATCTCTCGGGATTCGGGAATTGTCTATTACCAACCCATGAGCATTGTTGGAGCTTGGCGTCCCATGCACAGTGGGGGTCTTGCAACAAGACACAATCCCGGCATGTTTGCACGTTTCCACAATGTGATAAAGTTATAGATTTGATGATATCACTAGATGCTACTATCAGTTTTTCTGTAGTTAGTGCGACATGCATTTGTTTTATAGGCACGCCTTGTGGCAGTACCTGCACTTCTGAAATCACTGCTGTTCTCACGGGACTTCTGTTGTACTCATCACTTCCATCGATTACACCTTCATTAGATGCTACATTCACAGCTTTTATTACTCTACCGTCGTCTGTGCCGACATATATCACATCATATTTATTGCCATTCATCGCTTGAACTTGCGGATGAACGGCTATTGCTGAGAATCTATATTGTAAACTGACTCTTATGAGAAGTGGGCGTGCTAAAAATGAGGGTACGGCTTTGTTCATTAATGGGTGAGTCTTTATGAAGTTAACAGCAGAGTCTGATAGCGTTCGACTGTCTTCAACGCATGAGCCTGGTCTCGGTGATGGGACCTTTTCTTTTTCTAATGGCAACCAATTGGAGTTCATACTTTCTTGCCCTTTGAATGGGCCTTCGAAAGCGTCGATGATATCTCTCATTGCAAAAGCGCACACGGCTGAGCCGCCTATTGCGTTTTGGGGTGTTGTAAAAACAGCATATACTATGTCGTTTCTATTACCGCCGCCACCATAAATGCCGCTAATGAGTTCAGTTGTTGCTTCTGTAAAATGATTGTAATTGTTAATTACGTTAAAACTTGTATAAAAATTATTCATCGTTATTTGAGAAGGTGAATAACTTACGAATTTCATCAAAGTAGAACGGATACTCTCCAGGCATGGAACAGTTAAGCCGTGTCTTTAAAAATGATGTCCATCTGTCGCTGAAAGTATGGGGTCCTCCCTTGTCATTTAGACAAATTCTCGCTACCCTGGAGTACACGGCCTGTAAATAAGAACATCTATTATTTCTATTCTTCGAAAAAATTAAGTTAGTGATATCACTTCATTTCCATTCATTATATAGGGTGTTAGGTAAATGGGTATATGAGCCGACACCAGCCCATGTTAGCATGGTCATTGAATGGTATGGTGAAGTCAGAAAATTGATATCTTCATTTTAATTATTTTAATTTTCATACAAATCGGATTGTATAAAAATTATTTTGTATGAAAATTAAAATAAAATAAATGATGATATCAAATTTTTGACTTCACCATACCATTTATATGCCCATGTTAACATGGGCTAGTGTCGGCTCATATACCCATTTACCTAACACCCTGTAGATACTCACTTTTCCACAATTCATGTATTCTACTGCTGTCTCGCGGTAAAAGAAGTATACGTGGCTGGTTGTTGCAATCGCCCCAACAAATGATGGGTCGTTAAGTAGACGAAGGTCTGATCGTTCTGTTCGAACTGGTTCTCGGTATATTAGGGGATCGGTTCCGGAAAAGTCAGCAGCTGTTGCTGTGTACAATTGACCATCTGTAACAAAAAAAATAATTGTTAGGAAAGAGCAAGCTTCAGACTTACTGTCCATTAGTCTCCTCCTGCCTATGTCCTAAATAGGTCTTGACTTAGCTTATAGTCGTCCATTACTTACGACTACTCCTAAGTCAGAATATTTTGTATTAAAATGTAATTTATTGCACACACACTGTTTGTTCTGTGCCTGTTCTCTAACGTGGACTCAATCTTGCTAGTGAAAATTAAACTGAGCTTAAATAACTAAAACGGCATTTGCGAACCTGACTGGATGGAAATGGTTAACTGTAAAGGTAATAAATCGATCTGTATCGCGGGCGCCGCGTCGTGTTTAGCTCAACCCCTCACCGAGACTCGCGCGCGCGTGCTATTTCGTGCCGTCTTTGTGAAACGATAGTAATGTGAACTAATGTGTGATCACGCCGAATGCAAGAAATTGTTGAATTTACCTCTAATGTCGTATTGTTTCGTATAATAATATTATTAGAATGATTAACGGTATATTGTGCTCACCAGCATATATTGCTGTGGAATTGTGTTGAGGGTCGTAAGGACAGCGTCCTGACCCATCGAACTCTTCTAGGTGATGGGTCGTCGAGTGACTTGCATACCGCCGACACAGGGGTTTGAAGGCGTTGGTTCCGCACACGAGCAGACGGCCGTGTGCCCGAGCGGCCACTCGAGGGAAGTTCTGGCATTCATCAGCTGATTTGCCCTTCAGTTGGCACAGCTCTCGATGCGCATCCGTTGACTGCCATTCTAACCTCTGTGGACAATAGCACAATGTTACTAAACATACAAAAATGCCAAACCTATATTGTTGAACGTTTACATTCACATGACAACAAAAGTTTGCGCGTTGTACATCCTCTAAGTAAATTGTTCATGTGGGCGGCTTTTTGGACTGAGAGTCTGATTCACGGAACAAAATATGCACGTCTATAACATCTTCTTTGTATTTGTTTCGAAATCTGCACTCGTGTTGAGACATTGCATAAGTAAAATACCTATTATCCTTAAACTGAGGTAAGTAGTATTATGCAAGACGATGTGATGACGCTACTGGTAGTAAATAGAAATAATGTTGGAGCTATGTACATTGTTATGTTAGGTGCTACTTCTAAAGGGAAAAAATAAAACGATATTAAGTTGATTAGTATTCGAAAGCGGGCTAGTGGACGCGGTACATTGTTGTTCGTGAATAATTCAACACCAACGCTACTAATATGTGACAAGTATTCAAAATGCAAGCTTGACGATAATCGGATATTTTTCAAAACACTTTTTGAACTTTAAAGCTTAAGAAAAAACGGTAAATTGGATGTGCTTTGTTTGTGTCTGTCGTTCAAACACAAATTAGAAGGATTAATCTCTAGAGTATAAAATATAAATCCTGTTTTTGACTGGCCGAACTTTAGTAATAACGGCTTCGATATGGCAAAACGCCAGCAGACAACGTTGCGTTGCGCTCTACGCACCTTGAATCCCGATACGTCTCGTATTTTTTATTTAGTGCTCACATTGTGATGGCATTAATCGTGTGTTTGAAGTTTGTTGAGCTAGGTATAAATAAACTGTAAGACCGATATGTCACAATTTATATCCAATAGTTTTACGATATTAGTATTTTATATCGCGTTTTTCTATCATGTCAATGACTGCATAAATATGCATTCTATATGCGAGTAACGTTAGTTACTAAGAAAAACAGCTTAGGCGATTGTAACAAAAGATAGCATTGTATGATAAACTGATTCATGATAAGGGTACCATATCAGATGATTCTATAAATATCAGAGACTGTTTGACCACAAGAAAAAAAAGAACAAATACAGAAAACTAGAAAACCTTTACAACGCTCTTTGTTACTAAGAGAAATCACAACATTTAAACAAAATGTGCAAATAAAATTATATTATGGTTTGAGGAGTGGTAAAGCGAGCCACTTTGTTTCATTTAGAAAATACAAGCTGTTACCGCAAACTAAATCTCAGTAATAATAAACAGAGTAGAGGACGCGGGATTACTAGGAATACTATTAAGTAGCTTAGTGTAAGTTTAGATACGAGTACATAAACCTGTATTCAACAGTGTAGTATCTATTTAGTGTCGTACGCGGCAGGTCGGCGACCGCGGTTACACGCAAAAAACTATCTGCCAGTGCCAGTAGCCGGTCTCAGCTACCGCTTTAGCAGACGACAGTTATCAAGTGCCCCGTATTTTAATCTAAAAAATATAGCGTCGATAAAAATGTTTATTTATTGATAACCATGCTGCCTTGCTGCACTCTGAACTACAAACCTACCTTGTAATCTAACCGTAATAGTATTTTACGTAAAGTAGGTAACGATAAGTTTTACTATGGCTACATTGAAGAGCTTAGTAATTTTGTTTTTGTTTAAAAGAATTATGACTAAACTATGTATGCTGATTATGTGACACACTGTTTATATTTCAATAACACGGTCGTGCAATGACAATGAGTAATTTGAACAAACGTAGAGAACTCCTTACCTGATCAACGTTTTCTGACAAGTCGTAGAGGCTGAGATTGTAAACAGTGTTCCTGTAACGAAATAAAAATGTATTAGCTGTGGAGTGTTGTCTGCAATTAAATATGCGCATTTCAATGAGTGCTCTGTGGAAAATCTGTGGACCGTCTCGTCGCCGCGACACCTGCCCAAATAGGTAGCTACGAGTGCTACGACTTGATATTCTCGAGAGCACCTTCTATGGAAATTACTCTATTCGATGCTAATTCCGCGTAATCGACACGCTTAGCGTTTTATGGCATGAATGAATTTGAAGTAGCATGTCGCTTTCTGTTTTCATAAATAAATAAATAGGAAAATGTGCGTCCGAGACCACACGTATTCTTGTTGGCATGGACTCTACGTAAGTAATCTCATATTATGTCCTCTGTTACTTGTTATCTCAACTGATTAGAATAGTAATCAATTTTTTACACTTAATTGCGCCTGAATCTTATCATCGTCATGTGGGATAGCAATAAAGAATTTGAATCTTTTGATATTATGTAAAACATATTAAAGAGTAATAAATGTTCTACTAACCTGCCTCCTACTATAATAGATAGGTTATCCTTGTCTAAAATGCGGAAGTGGTGCGGCGCCGTCGCGTTGCCCACAAACTGTTCTGAAGTTTCATCGCCTGTAACAAACCAATTCATTAAAAGTTTCACAGAGTCACTGCGACTTAATACAACTAAGCGCAACCCAAGTTATTAAGTAACAGTTTATGATATTACTTGAATGACCAAGTGAACGCATGAGTTAACCGTGAGTTGGCATGACCCGCAACTTGCGAGGCTAATCTAACCCCGGCGTTTCTGTCTGCTGTTCTATTAACCACAGACATTTTGATGTTTTTAGTCTATGACTAATGCTAGATATGTCAGGGTTTTCCAAGTTGGAAAGGGGTTCGCGGAAAAGTTACCAGGGTTCAGCGAACTACTTAATGTATTTTGAGGGGTTCAAACGAGCACTTGGTAAGTAATCACCATCGCTCATAGCCAAGCCTGGGTAGCTTTGACGTGATTGCATGTGCAGATTTCCCAACTGTTTAACATTCAATGTGAAACTCCCTAGGCTATAATTATGTGTTCAATTAATCAATTACTTCTTGTTCTAGCTTCTATTTTTTTCAAGTGCTAGTTAAATATTTTCCCGCAATTCATGTGAATGAAATCGAATTCCCTATCTAAGAACAAGGTAATTTGAGATTGATGGCCGATTTTTTTGGCTGCCGTAAATTCTTTTTTTATGCGCAGATCAAACGAACAATGTTCCCATTGTACGGTGATTAAACAACACCGAGGATTTGCGATTTCATAACAATTGGTTGGGAAATTCTCACGTGTGCGTCGCCACCACATCTGCGAACCTTCGTGCACCTGTGGATTTCGCACCATCGAGATAACGTCTTAGCGTGGGCGTTAATATTTCTCGGTAGAAAAACAAGTCAATATTATCTTTGATATAGGCATCGGAACAACACGTGTACATAAAAATATCTTTCTGGTTTTTGTTAATGGCAACATTAATTAAATCTAAGATACCCTACCCGATCCAATCAAATTTAAAGACTATTTTATCTTTTCACATCTTATTGATGAGCATCTGAATCATTCTAAGTTATTTACCAGTCAATTAGTGGCAAGCGTAATTACTATAATTAAAGACTTTGAACTGGAAACTGATACAATGCCAGATAGCCTTGAGGTGGCTAAATTTCCATATTCATTAGCCATTCTTTCTTTACAAGTAGGGACCTCTACCTACCTATAGTAAGTTACATAATTTTGTATACTTAGAAAGAGAAATAATAATTGTAAAAGGTTCATGGTTCTATTTAAAAGTAGATATTTATTTGTTCAAAATAAAAGATTACGGTGAACTATTATAGTTCACCGTAATCTTTTATTTTGAACAAATATATTCGCTATTTTTCAAAAAAAGATTCCAGTATGAAGTCGCGTCCATAGTATCTTGTATAGTAAAACAGGCTGTGTCAACTTACCATATTTGACGTGGATACGTGCGTTGGAGTCTGGCATCCATGCTTGGGCCGTCGATGCCAGGAGGACGAGGACGGCGCGGGCTACCGCCATTGTGGCTTAGATTCGCCTCCTTTCTATGCACGCCATCTTCCACTGCCCACTGAAAAAAAAGAAAAGATCGTTAAATAAACGGATAATCCAGCTGTAGAGCCGCATTTGTGATATTTACTCAGAATCGTCGAGATTTAAAAGTAAAAATGAACGTTGTTCTTACTGGAATACACGCGAGATTACTCTGTAAAAAGATTCTTTTTGCAGTTCAAGATAAGATTTCATTGAAAACCAGTAAAATTTTCCGGAAAACTTGACGATTTTCCAACATTTGGTAATTTAATCCTATGAATCTATAAAAATTGATCCCAATTTGTGAAAAACTAATAAAGTAAGCACTGTTTGCTTGATGCACTCTATTAGCTACTGTTGTTTGCACTCTACATAACGGGTATAGTACGAATACCTATGTGAAAAAACCAATAAAATTCATAAAAACGATCGCATTTTATTTTCAGTAGTTTATCTTTTCCGGATAAACTACTGAAAATAAAATGAAATTGAACACATTATTTTAGTTTTGATTATTCCGAGTCAGGGGATAGGTACTAATTAAAGCAAAGGGAAAACAGCTCAACAAAACACGCACAGTGAGTAAAAAAATTCGTCGGTTTGATGGCAAATGGCAAAAAGTAGCTGTCAGAGTGCGTAATTAATTAAAATTATAAGCGAGGATGTCGTTGCACGCACTCGCTGGTCAGTCAGGTTCCCGTTCACACGGCCCGATATGTACGCACGCAGTATGCATCCGCGCGACTCTGGATTGGCATTCTCCTTTTTATATTTTTTAACTATTCCCATGATCGTATCGTGAGAAGAAAAACCCGATTGTCTTGTCCCGATCGTGATCCCAGCGACATCCACTTCGTTACGATATCTTTTTAATCCACCTTTTATGCTCCGATACGGTTTACTGCAGGACATTTATGTTTTTTTATGCAGATCTTTTACTTTGAATTGCTATCGTAAACAGAATAACGTTGTAGGATGGGTTATAACTGGTTTACGATCATATTGTGGCTGGCGTACATGTGTATTATGTTTTTCATGTGTAAATAATGATTTTATAGGCTTCGGTTATATGCCTAATTATCATGTTTATTTTTAGGATTCATTGAAATAATGCCTTACGGACATTTTGCATGTCTATGTTATAATTTTATTACAGGGTGTTAGGCTGTTAGGTAAATGGGTATATGAGCCGACACTAGACCCATGTTAACATGGGCATATAAATGGTATGGTGAAGTCAAAAATTGATATCTTCATTTTAATTATTTTAATGTTCATACAAATCGGATTTACCTTTACTAATACCCATTTACCTAACACCCTGTATCATCATTTCAGCCACAGGACGTCCACTGCTGAACATAGGCCTCCCCCAAGGCCAAAAAACACCCTGTATACATCTACATTTATATCTCCCTATTCATTAACATCATTAAAATCAACCGTAAACCAACTGGTGCATATCATTTTCATTTTAATTACGTTATGAAATGACTTTATGTTGATTACAAAATTTTGTAATTGATAATTTTGTTTAAATCACAATGAATATATTAATATTTGAATAAAAATCTTTGAAAGTCCATTTTCAATGAGTCATTACACATAATTACGTGGTTTAACTATGTAGGTATTTTCTTTACTCTCTTTTCTGTACCGTTACTTCCGTTTAACCTCATATATGAATATCACACTTAGATGAGATAACGTATTAGCGTTATTGGCTTCATCCGGTACTAGGTCTTTTCAAATGACACTAATTAAAATACAAAAATAAATAATGCAGTTCTTTAGAGATGTGCTGCGGAAATCTTCCTAAATTGGGTCGGAGAATCCAAGGACCATATAAATGGGCCTAATATTCCCACTAAATTGGAAAATTCTGGGTATACCAAACTTGGAGAAGGTTTTCGGGAAAACTGCACAACTCTTAACTCTTTAGTTATTTGCACATTTACGCAGTAGCCACATTGTAACGCGCGTAGTAGGTTACTAACCAAGCAAGCATTTTTCGAATTGGGTCGATTGAATTGGCGGGCGCGGAGTATGCACGCGTGTAATTGTATGCTTTTACACATTGTTGTCTTCATAGTAAAATATTGCTTGCACATGCATAAATGAGGCTAGTAATATAAAGCAATAACTTATTATTTATAGTTCTAAAATTAGAAGTTATGGTTCGGTTTGATCGTACGCAAATAATATGTAGGTCATCACTGAAATGAGAAATAAACGAGTTTTTTTTAATGCACTTTACGACTGGGCAAACTGCTCTACGCGAAGTTAGGTAGATAGAGCACTAATAATGATGAACGATGTTGTATTTTCCTTTATTACTGAGAACATAGGTACCTACATATTTCCTATTGTGTAATGTTTAATTATAACTTTTCATTTATTAATCAAACACAAAATTTCAATTTCGTAAACGAAAAAGTGAGTGCCTGCACTGCAATATCACGTGTTACATTAATAATTGAAATCTTTGGAAAATCATTTAACCCTGCCCTGTTATAATGCAATTTAGTCAGTTGTTCCGAATAAGCGCATCCCCTCGAAAAGGGTTGAAACTAGGGGTTGGGGCTAGAAAGCACTATCGATCATGGCGGCTAGTCTGATAAATCATTGTCATTACTTTCAAGCAACTAAAATTGGTCGGTAATTTTACAGTGCTCATTTCGAAAGACCTAAGGTTTACTTGAAATTGATATTTCGTCAAAAGTTCAACATTGGCAAATTGGCAATATTTGCCTTAAAAGCAAACATTTGACGATAAACCAAACCAGTCAAATTCCCCACACAACGTTATGTACCTTTAAAATCAATTCTTGGAAAACGCAGTTTTGCTCAACGACATTGCAAATTGCAAAGTACGCTTTGGAACAAATTATTTCTAATGCTGGTAAAAGGGTTGGGGATTACAGTAACAGGAGGCGTGGTGCATCGCAGATGTCACACAAAGGCGCGCTGCATCTGTAACACAATACCGCTCCTTTCTATCCATCTGTTTTAACTACCAGTGATGGGGCAAGACAAGTGGCATGGTCCGAGCAGATCGATAATTTTAAAATAGCTCCGACAACTTGGATGATTTATTTATAAAACTCACGAGGTTTCGATAGCGTAGCGTTTCAAGATTTTAACTACATGAAATATTAAGATTTATGTTTCAGATGTTTAAGGTGCGTCACTATTACAGAAGCTTTTGATTTGTTGAATTTGAATATTATGATAATTTTATAAAACAGAATCTATGGTAGAGTTTTGAGCTTTGTTTTGTAACCTAGAGAGAGTTAGATTTTCTTTTCGCAATTTAGTCGTAATTAGAGCTACAAGGGCGTTCATGATTAGGTTCAATTCGTGCTGCGTAAACAGAATGTCACCTTCGCATTACTGGGTACGTCGCAGTTTCGATAGTGCTAGTGCAGCATTCCCTGCCGATTGCTGTTGTAATACGTCACGCCGTAACTTGTTAGGGCGGATTCCGCCATCGCTGTATATTACGCTTCGAACCTGTAACCTGTAATTTATCGGGGCCCGATCTGGCGGCACAATTACTGCGCTAAACAAACGGGCGGTTATCGAGCCGAGGGTAATAGCATCGTTATTTTAACGAAATCATGATGTTCTTTACGAAACTGTGCCAGTACAATACCAAACGGTATGGCTCTTCTTGAAAATCGTGTCTTTACCGTCACTCTCAACAATTGGGGTTAATTGATGACGAACGGAAAGTAGTAATCGTGTCCTCTTTTTCAATTTCCATTATGTAATTGCTAATCATTGTGCATTATTTTCCGGTTTAGTAAATTAAAGCTGAAATTAGGTAGTTCATCTCTGATACCTTACATCTCTAAAATACAATAGGAGCATAGTAAAGTTCAAGATAGAGATCAATAAAAATGTCATTGCGTACTTACATGGAATACAAAATGACAATGATATCAAATTTTAATAGAGACATTCACATGAATATTTTATGCGGGGAGTTGGATACTAACAAATGTATATCGCGGTCACTTCTCAAGAGTATTGGATCGCTTGTTATTAAAATACGCAGGTGAGCCGGTTGGATATCCCGCATATTAAGCGAGTTTTATAACTCCAAGTGCTTCTCGAATGGCCGGCGACGGGTTGTGTGTGGTATAAACGAGATACGGTTGCAATTACGCAGACGCGGTTGTCATTCGAGCCTCGGGCTGTGTTGAGCTTGAAGTCCTGCCCGGTCCCACGCAACTCGGGAAGCTGCGGTTGTTTTTCTTCCAACCGCAATAAATAAACCCCGTTGAGAAGCCGCGGGCTGATATACATACGACTAGGACTACGCTAAGACGATAAAAGACACTTTTTCGCCATTTTTCCATATCAGCATACAATTTATAGCTGCTTCTGGCAACGTCACGTGTGAGATGTGTTTCACAAAACGACGTGATAGGGATAGAAGGATAACTACGTGATGGGACTTGAGAACGCGGATTGGAACATCATTCATGATAAATATTATTTCCGTAGCTTTCTTTCTTTTTATACGCACTACGAATATGAATAATGGAGTATTATGTTTAACAGTCTTCATACATAGTTATATTGGTTTTTATTAGCATTTTGTATTTCAATGAAAACTTTGGTAATAATAAGGTATTAGTGCTACTTTGCATTAAACATTAAAAGCCTGATGTGCTTTTGTCTTTGCATACAATTCCAACAATTTATACTTCTTCACTTCGAATGTTCTAACCTATGTTCTTATAAAAGTTCGCCAGAGCGATTTTCTTAGTTTTTTGAGTGACTTCTCTAGTTTTTGTGTGATTCTTCTAGTAAACAGCCCTACCCTCTTTTTGTAAAGGGTAGGGCTATTACTTTTCACACTATGATACCTATACCTAGTATTCAGCAAAGAAAAATAAAATAGAACCTGTTAGTGAGGCAGATCTTTTTTTTTATTTCTTTCTTCGCGTCTCTACAAAATGAACGCAAAGTCTTAGAGGCTAAGCGACAGATGGCGTTAGGAGTTTGTTGTTTAATGGTGGTAGAGTTTTTGTGAGTTGATATTTATCAAGTTTACCCACCAATTTGAAATCTCTACATTGTAAAACACGATATTATGGAACCAGTTAAAAGTTTGGAGCTCACAAATCTCACTAAGCTAAAAGAGTAGACTTTAGTAAAAACTTTACAATTAAAAGTTAAAGCGTAACTGTTGGCCGCCGTAAAAAATGTAACCTGAATGTTTGTTCACTAAAAAATAACGATAATTAGATGTGCTGACGTCCATTTTTTACATCTGAAACGGTTTCTTTTAAAGTTTAATCAGTCTGCTCTAGATTATGACAACGAACAGAAACGTGTTCAATTGCTAGGAGTAAAAACTCTACCCGTTCGTTGTTCTTAATTTATTTATTATTGAGTAACCAATTTGACTGCGCCCGGGCATCTGTTATTTCCATCTACACTATGTTCGTGTACCTTTAATTATCCAGGCGTATGATGTATGACGCAGAGTGCGCGTAATTAGGTACATGCAGCACAGGATACGATAATGTCATTCATTCATTACCAACATTATCTCTGACTAAAGTAATTGTTTCTTCTTCTATTAAAAGCACAGTCAGGAAGTAGTAAACGATGAATCAGATTTCCAGTATTTATGTTATGTGAACTTTTTGCCCTTTTGCTGACTAGATCAAGGTTTACTCACATTAAACAATAGATTCTTGATTACGGTTTAGACATATAAAAGGAAATTGTTCTGCGTTATGGAGCGTGCAATTTACTAACGATTTATTGACATTGATCCTATTTATTCAAGACCAATGATGTTGGAAATATTCTTAAGAATATTTTACTGGTTTTAAAAATAATAATCAAAGAGTTATACCAACGTGGAGAAATAGAGAATTTGAATTTGTTACAAAATACCAATTACTGAATCAAAACTACTCGATTCGTACGTTAACTCTACAATTATCTTGACTTTATCTTTGAAAGAATTAAACAAGTATCTTATCAACAATGCCTTTGAAGCAATTTGTTCATTTATCAAAACATTGTAGTTACGCTAAATGGAACTAATGATAAGCTTCAGCGATGTATCGAGTAACGAGACATACAAACATGTGCCAGTTAGTGCTGGCTTTCAAAATTAGCACGCTGCTACTTTCCAAATGATAGCCTACATCCAGAGCGCGGCTTGCACACAACAAAAGAGGATAGAGACAGTGTGCATTTGACTGTACAATTTACTCCGTGGAGTCGTCGACTCGTTCGTGGAGCGGGCACGCTTGCTTGTCGTGTCAACAATGGCGCTCTCTCCTTCGCTCCCCTATTCGAGTTTTTGTTTGTGCCGCCTCCACAATGCCCCGCGCCTATGCGCCTCATCAACACTATACGCACTCTACAATCTACGATTGTCGTACCGCAAAGAGGACTCACCGTGATCAATTCACAATTTTAGGTAATCCAATTTCAGTTGATGCATATGCACTCATCGCATGTGGGTCACAAAAAATTAAAACCACTTATAAAATTCACTCATTCCATTTCGGGCATAACGAAAGTAGTCACAACGGGCACTGATCACGGAAACCACAATCGACGTCTGTCACTGGAAACACAAAGTCGGAACCGGTTTTGAAGTAAGGAGTGCAACAGCAACTGGCGTTGCAGTGTTTACAGGGCGCGTTGAACCGGCAGCGCTGCGATCGCACGTGGTGTCGCGTCGCGCTCGGCGAGGGTACTGGGGCGGGCGGCGACGGCGGCGCCCCTCTGCTCCCGCGCCACGAACTTGCCTGTCCAGATCGTTGCGTCTTTTTCTAACTGCGCGTGCGCCGGTGCTAGCGTTTCGTTACAAAAGCAAACGCTCGCCCCAGCCAGTTCTATGGTGTTTTTGTTTTGTATTGACGCTTCTAAATGAGAGGCCATAAAATAGATGTTCGAAATTTTCAAGGGTAACTCGCAACATCAGTTTGTCCATTAGTTGGTTTCAAAAATTTTAATACCTTAATTGAAATAAGTGGGCATCAATTGGTAGAGTAGTCGTTGCAGCTATTGTAAAAATTAAGACCTACGGTTTTTGACCTACAGATAGAATCACGAAGTTTAGTCTTGAAAGAAACATGCATGCAATATTAAAAACTCAGTGTTAGTAAATATTCGTATTGAAAACATAACAATACTCGAAGTAATGCTAACGACGTACGCCGTAAAAGATCGCCACATGTGGCAATCCCAGTCGATTCTACGCACCCCTCGCTATGCGGCCAGGTAGTAGAGTCGTTCGTGATTACAAAAAATATTATAGTGTATTCGCCCTTGGTGAAACACAATGGAAGGGACCATTGTCAAGTTAAAACAATAAACAAAACGTCATGGTATAACAAAATTTATATTTTATTGAGGATGTAGAGTTAAGTGAAAGAAATAGGAAACGAAGATGTAGAGTAGAGAGAGAGAGATGGTAAGATTTTTCACTTGAAAAAAAATCGATTGCCTCAGGTTGGATTTGAAGTCCATGACATACTAGGTAACAACTATAATTCTTGCTTAGACCGGTAGTCCATGCTAATTACTTACTCAGCAAATGGAATGGAATAATTAATCAGAAATAAAGGTGAATTATGCAAGAGATTACCTATTTCACTACTTTCATAATTGAAAACCGGCAAGCGTGGTTGCTAAATATGGTAAAGGAATTTGGAATTATTTAGGGAGAATAGGAAATAAAAGTTGGCAATAAATGCTTTTTGGTTTATTGTGGGAACATTTGTACGTGACAGGTGATGTTTGGGATGGTACCTGCGATAATTCTATTATGCTGCCTTACGCTTCTGACGACTCTACAATAAAATCCGGGTTTCTTTGAATTCAAACTCCACAAAATATTTAATACGAATTTGATTACTTTATGAGCTTAGTCCTTCATTTCAACGTTGGACCTACATCGTCCATTGTCCATTACAGGGTTAAAGTTTTATTCCAGAAGTAATTAAGGTAAATTATATGCTTACATTTAGAGCCCTTATTTGTTGCCTAGAGATTTGATTGTTAATAACAACAACATCGTCTCTACATTTAAAGACATTATGCATGCATTCTCGGGGCGTATTCTCGACTGAGCCATCGCTGGGATCAGTAATATGGGCGTTTCTGGGCCAGATATCTGAACTTACGATACGACTTGACAAGGAGAGCTTGTGCCCGCAATATGAAGCAAGCGCGCGGTGGGCGGTCGTTTTCCGGACATTTTCTACTAATTGGTCCGCCACGATTTCACGCTACTATAAATGTCGCTCATCCTACATGCGATCCACTAAATTATCACCTTGAAGCAACTGGTCAGTGTTACTGACTTTAAGTAGGTACTCGTAAGCTACGAGCTACGAGAAGTAGACAACTTTCGAGTTTATTATGATCATTAATTTGTCTAGGTTTGGGTTTGAATTTAATCTATCGCAAATTTGTCGATTAAAAAGTAATATATTACAAAGTGCATGCTATAAGATTTATTTATAGGAGTGCCAGTAGTGTAAGTAAAAAGTGGCACTCATCATACCTACCTACTAGCTGTANGAGTACTAGCTGTATCTTATCAACCACTTATTAATATCCTTATTTTTTACAAAACGAACTCTGTTAAACAGTTTCACTACTTTGTATAAGCTCAACACATCAAATGCCAAAAGTCGGAGCGACATAATGCATCTGTTCAGTGATAAAAATAACTTTTTAGAGTGCAAAATATTATCTTAGTTACATGATTGTAACCCAACGTTACGTAACGTTATTATGTAGATTTCAAATGTCTCTTCTACCTAATAATGGGTATTAGTATAATTGCGAGGTAGGCAGAATTTCAAACCTTTTAAATTGCCAAAAGGAATCACGGAATGACTAATTCACAATGTACAGACATTGTGAGCAACACAGAGAAATATTTGCCTATGGCGACACAGCGTCGGACTTTCTCCAGAATTACGTATTACGTCAGATAAGGGGAAGAGGTCGGCCAAAGATTGCCGATAGACTGCTGCAGGTAGGACGGCTATCGCAAACATTTGTCACGAGCATAATGCTTGCGACGCAACACAATCACCATAAACTAAAGATGTTACAATTCAAATTTACTTCCCGTAATTGCTTTCAGACAGTTTGTTTGTGTTCCGCCGCGGGGAACTAGTCTACCCTCATTATGCGGGGACCCCAAATAAGGCCCACCATGAAATTAGGCTCGGTAACGTAAACTAACTTTACTTGTTTATATACCTATCTTTACATGTCAAAACATCTTCATCTACAACAACAATAGCAAAAGCAGAGTGAGCAAATTAATCATCTACGAGTATCTACACCATTGAATCGGAACAATAGGTCATTCAGGCTATGTCACATAAAATTGACGCGTTATGACATTACGGCTATTGTAAAATCTTAAGAAATGAAAATAAAGCATCCGATTAACGAAGTTATGGCAGTGGCATTACTATAACTCGGTGTACTTTAGCTCCGAATTACGTTATCTGATGCGAAACGGTTTACGATCTTGCCGGAGCTTATTTGCATATCAGTGGCGGTGTGGGTGCGGGGCGCGCCGCAAGCCGGGACAATATATTTCAGCCAAAGACGACGTTGCTATCTCCACCTATTGTACATAACAAGAAAGGTACTCTGCAACTGGCGGGCTGCCACATCCAAATGCGAAAGCCGTCTGAACTTACTGAAAACGTTAGATTTTTTCATTTTCAACAAATTCTCCGCCATTGTTCGAAAGAAACTTGATTGCATTCGGCGCAATTCAGGGCGCTGGCGACAAAACAAGCACTTTAAAAGTTGCACACTTCGCAATATCTCCGATAAGGTGAAAATAGTTATCTCCGGCTCGTTGTGCCAGGAAGGGTAGCGAGGGAGATATCAGCTGAATGAGGCTTTGCTAACGACATCGCTCGACGTTTCACCACGCCGAGAAAACCGTTACAATTTTGCAAGAAACCGCTCTGATATTATGTACAGAAAGTGCAATTTTCACATTTGCATCTAACTCATGTTTCGCCGATATTAACTCATTTTGAAAACGGATAAATGGTTTACAAACTGTAAGTGCTGTGTTTGAATTTTCGTTACTTTTGTTTGGAACTTCATGCGGTAACAGTAAGTACTTACCTAATTGCTGTATCGGGACTAGTAAATTGCTGCCTTTCAAGTCGTTTTTTCATTCTGATGAATCTCATTTGATGAAGATGACCGATAAAATTGAACGTCATGGGACTGCGTGTGTTCTCTTTGCTATTACAGTCCCCGTAATAAGAGTTGCGTGACCGTAGTCGGCCTAGTATGGTAATGGTTATTGTATAATTCACCGCATGCGTCTCGCATTTGTATAGAGCAGTCGTATATGACCATGAATTTGAGAGGAATTTTGTCTTTGTGATAGGAACCGGCTGAACACAAGCGAAACCACAAGTTCGTACAAAGAGCCAAGTTCATACAAAAAGGTTTTGAATAATGTGGGTGGATCTATTAATGACCGTGAAGTAAGTACCATCAATTAATCTTGTAAAAACTGAGATATGACGGGCGACGGGGTCCATAAAATTATAGCCGGCTTGTAAAATTGTAGGCTACGTTTCATAGATTGAAACAATCAAATAAAAACAAGATGTAAAACGAGTCTCTATTACAGAGCATTCACATCAATCAGTTCAATTTGCGGGGCAAACAACGTTTTTGCGTCGCAGCCCGTAATTGCGGGGCTCGCGTTTAGTTACAAATGTTAGTGGAATCTGTCTACAATGGCAACGATTAGGCGGCCGCACGTTACGTATGCGAGATCATTAAAACGGGCCTCGACACAGTGCGAGTGGCATTACAGGTGACATAAAGCCGGCCGGTGACGATCTAATTCCAAACAAATGCAAATTGAGCCTCGGGAGCATCAGGCTGGACATCCGCCTAATGGCGGCGTATTGTGCGCGCGCGATAATGGCCGGTAATTGGCGCGAGGTCAGCGGGGTCACCTGGACTGCGATGTTTTATCCCGTCGCGTCGGCCCGATCTCGCGTCCCATCGCGGATCGCCTCTCAACCGTAAGATTTAATCACGCACGTAATTAAATCCAATCGAGCCTTCGATTCATAACAGCTCGCCGTTTATCGGAACCTAACCGTTACACATGGTCTGCTTCGTATTACGAGATTAGCGGGCTTCGTGCAGTATTGCTGGAGCACTCGCCCCGAAAATGCGATCGGATGGATTTAATGACATGTGAGTCTAATGAATTAGAGGACCTTTTCGACACAATAACAGCCTGGCCTGGTGGTTCGCGTAGGTACCTATACCGGTTTACAACGCAGGCTATGATTTCGGAGCAATTACACTCTGACTCACGCACAATTTTTTGTATAGGATATCCTTTTTTGGATAATATAGATCTACATTTTAGGCATGCTTATCCGTGAACCAGATGCAATAGGAGCCTTGATTTGGGCTAGTTACCAAATTGAAGTGATGTTTTGTTTACTGAATAAACATTTTTTCTTTCTTTCTTATTCATACTTAATGGTAGAGCTCTTCAATTGCTAATTGAAAGATATTCGTTTTAAATCCCACAAGAAAGTTATTCTTATCATGGTCATCTAAAAATGATTTCGGAAGTCGTAGGCAGTAGTGCAAATCGGAGATAGTTTGCGTTAAGAGAGACAAAGTTGGAGACTTCAAGTGACGCGAAGGAAGCGGGGCGCGGTCAGGCGGCGCGCGCGC